GAAATGTTTCTTTCACAAGAAATGTATAAAATTACAGTACTAAACAGACGATAGGTCGCCTAACTCGCCGTAGCGTGACGCTAGACGGCGAAAAATATATATTTAATTATAATAAAGTTACAATAAATTAAGTTAATATATAATTATATATACAGTACCTAATTTATATATAATTAATATATAATTATATGTACAGTACCTAATTTATATATAATTTATATAATACTGTCCAGACGATAGAAATCTCTCCGTAGCGTGGCGCTACGGACGGCGGGTAAGTAGTTCGGCTGCCCGATGACGTTTTACGTATTATAGGAGTTATTTTTACCGTTGTTTACGGATAATGCCACAATTTTTATAGGAATCATAACTATAGGAAACGCTTTTATAGGGGGATCTACTGTATTTTAATTCAGCGACTATGAATTCGAATTCGAGATGCAGCTGCCGGGTATCTCCAGGTGTGAAGGCTTTTCTATTGTTCCAGATAAACGAAATGCGAACAGTTGATGTTTACATATCAGCATACAAGTGATTCCTGCCGAATATCCGTTAAGTGTACGTGTCAAGTGATTCAGGTGTTCATATATATTTGAACATATAGCAACGATAGAAAACCACACAAATATTCATATGCATTCGCGATTTATTTTAGAATATCTTATTTGCAGAAATGACAGAACTTGAGTAACGTATTCAAGCATATACTGAAAATAAAAATATAACAATATGAAATAAATGTTTATGAAATTATATTATAAATTTCTTTTCGTGTATTCGAATAGGAATTTTTGTCAAATTATTTGTTTCATTTTAATAAGTACCAGATGATCGTAATTGAAATACAGTCGACCCCCTATAACACTGTTGATTTTTCCGTTTTATATGAATTCCATGTTGTACGAGTCACTTAGATTTGTAAAATTTAAGTGACTCGTACAACATGGAATTCATATAAAACGGAAAAATCAACAGTGTTATAGGGGGGTCGACTGTACCTTGTTCAACGCTTTCTGGAGAGATACTTTGCAATTTAAATGTAGACATATTTGCCATGATGAAATTCCAAGACACACTGAAGATATTTTCGGCCCACCAGTTACCAAGCGGTTTCGTTCCCCGAACACTGGGAATTCGGTCGTGGATTCGCGCCTGGCCACGTGAAGTTTTCCGGGTTTTCTCCACGTCTGTAACGCCTGAATAGGAGCCAGTTTCCCTTAAGATGACCTTCCGGAAGGCATTCCTTCTAGGCAAGTGTTGCGTTGCGGTAACTTAATAAACAAACAAACTGAAGACATTTTCTACTCAAAAAAAGTACCAAAGCTCATCATATGGTATCTTTGCTTCTGTAAGCAACGAAAAAGTATATGCATGTAAGCTTTTGTGTAATTATCTGTTGCAGACAAATTCTAAGTATAAACTGTTACATTTCATTGTTTCTATCTTGCCAGAATGAATACGATCGTAAATCTACCATTTCACAAGTCAACGTTATTGTACAGTCAATGAATAATGCAGCAGGCTCCAGTAGTGCGAGTGCAGTACCAGGGTAGTTAAGTGTATTCTACGGCATAGTGCACAAAGTACCGAAACACTGCTTTAGTTTGGGTTTAATGGGATACGTCAACGCAACCCTGGACGATCTGCCAACTGAAGGATGCCTCCAGAAATGACTTTTTATGGAAAACTGGTCCTAACAGGTGAAGAGAACCAGGAAAATTCTACTCGCTAGTCCGTTGGGAATTTTTATTACACCCGTCTAATGCCCGGTAATAAAACAGCCGGCCGAACTCACGATGAACATGGAAAAAAGATACTTAATGCCCACAAAAAGAGAGTCAAAAATGAAAAAGATCTTTCATAATAAATATAGAAGAGGATTTTTCATTTTTTACCGAACGTTAACATATTATTTATAAGAATTACCATGAAATTTGCTTACACTCATAAAACTTTTCTTGTTGAAGAAGAAGAAGTTCTTGCTCTTGTATCCGATATCACGCTTAATGACGTACAACAAAATCAACGACTAAAAAGTATTTTTGTAATTGTAATTTATATAATAGACTAATTAAATATATTGTAATTTAATTTAAAAATGATAAAAAAATAAATCTCTTACGCTGTAATTACTTTCGTTTCTGAAATAAAAGTCCATAATGCAAAAGGAAGCTTGCTCAATCTGCAAAATGACAGTTTTAATTGTTGTAGATGTGAAAAATTGAGAAAATTTTATATACTTACCAGAGAAGGAACTTTTGATAAGAATAACGCGTATGCTATAAACATTATTAAAAAGCTAATTATTACGCATAACAGTATAAATAATTCTGAAGAAAGAGCTATGGTATATGATACATATATTGCTGCAATACTTGCCAAAGGAATGGCAATTATAATAAAAAGTGTTTGAAGTTCGTCACAGAATTTGTTTATTATGTTAATAGAGTAACAAATACTTGACGTTTTCATGAGTACTGTTGCCATGTCTACATCAGATTTCTCATCTAATTGTTTTTTCAAATATAAAATAAATGACTTCGCGTGAACATTGCAGATGTAATTATTAAGCCAAAGAAGTCCAACTCCATAGCATATTATACAACAGATAATTAAACCTCCTATGACGTAGTGGACGTTACAGAAAAGTTCTTGTGGAAACGATGTATTATTTTGATGATAATTTCTGTGAGAAATATAAATAGCATTTATAATAAACATTATGCAAAAAGTAAGAAAGCTGAAGAACAAAACGATGAAATCTTGAACATATAGCACGTTAATTGATAGATTTACGCTGTGATCTAAATCTTTTTCAATAATACTGATGGCCTTTATCATATAAGAACTATTTCTGTTATAAAAATATACGTATATTATTGGAATGCAAATACAGAAACATACAATGTATCTTAAATCTCTTCCTACTATATTCCAGAACTCTGGTATCTTACAAAGTTGTAAAATGCCAGAGAGTTGTAAACTCTTCGGTAGTATTTCTTCCGGAAAAAATACTAAAATCATTATCATGAAAATGAAGTATAATTGAATGATTATTAAAGAAAACCAGAATTTGTTTCTCTTTTTACCAATATAAATTCCAAAAATCTGCACAAGATTTAAATAAGGAAGAACGGCTTCTGAAAGTAATACCATTCTGCACAAATAGTCAAGAGATTTCGGAGGAGAATGTATTGTGGCTTGTCTGATTTGCCGAATCAAATTACTATTTGCTATTCACCAAATGCAATGCCATGATTAATCCTTGAATTATGTAATAGCAATTATCATTTAGAGCCATCAAATTCATAGCCAACCTCATACAGAAATCTCTATGTATCAATCATCATTAATGACCTTCATCAGCCATGGATGTTTAATTATAAATGTGTGGTTTATAAATATTAACAATTCTAATAATTTTGTAAATAAAATGTATTAAATATTAATTTTAAATATACGATAACTTATTAACATTTTATGGCCATTTATTTAAATTATTTACGTATTTTTTTATATACAAGGTACTAGTGTTTGCGATAGGTTCTATTAACGTAAAGACTTATTACAAAATATAATGTTGAGGATCGATACAATTAATATTTGTCCATTAGCCATTTTCCTTCTTCTAATAGCTAATGCATATCTTATTTGATTTCTGGTATAATGTTTCTTTCAATTGTGATATGTAATTCGATTCAAGCAATCAATCTTCATTCATACATTGAAAGCTATATTAATGGGCGCCTGTTTTAGATGCCAGAGGGACGGGACTTTTTGAGATCCCTTAATAATCGATTGCGGTACTGTAGACAACAATTTTAGATTCTTATTCGGGGTACAGAAATTCCGTTCATAAAAAGAATTAGTGGTAATTTGTATCTGCAACATGGTTTCCATGATAGATTATTATTTCATAGTAGATCGTGTCACCATAAAAGTAATCACTTGAGTTATATGATCAAACGTATACTGAAATAAAAGTTACATTAATTATATTTTAACAGAAAAGTAATTATTAAAACTTCAAAGTTTTCAAATTATGTAACGTACCTTTAAAGCGTTTTCTTTGTTAATGAATTGAAAGTTCATAATTCTAAATCCTATTTTCGTTTCGGTTAAATATAACAACACGTGTGCCTAGAAAATATGTAAAAAAACCCAATAATTTGCATATTTATTTCATATAAAAAACCATATTAAAATATTAAATTTACCCTTTTGTTGTCTTTGTCACTTTGAAAATATAAATCCATTGCGCTAGAAGATAATCTCTGAATCTGTAAAATAGAAAACTCTAATTAAATCAAGGTTCTGTTAGCTCGGCAACGAGACACGTGGGCGATCTCCCAGAACCCTATGTGAAATTGGTCCCTATTTTGGGTAAGAGAATTTCACTTATTTGGTTTAATTGTGTATGGCACCGCGACACGTGAACGATTTGACGAGGGGGATGCTTCTCTGGAAGACTTTCTATGGGAAACTGACCTCATTTAGGTGTTACTAACACGAAGAAACCCCGAAAGATCTATATGGCAGGTTCGTTGGCCAGTAAAACCAGTGTTTTACTTCGCTAATAGGGATAATTTCTTCATTGAAAATTCCTCCGGGATGCACCTCATTTGGGAAATTATCCAAATTATCTCTTCAATATAATCCTCTCCAATCCTACTTTCAAAAACTAATATCAGAGTTAATTAGAGATTCAAATTTTTGCAACTCACAAAGTAAAAGTGTAGAAGAGAATGGAAGAAAAATATTTTATTAGTGAGGTATTTTGCTTCCCTCTCCCTCTGGGTTTTAGAATTTGAATCTTAAAGTTTGGTGTTCGTTTTTGAGAGAGCTAAACACAGGATTAGAACATAGAATTTGTACTTAATTAACGATATTAATATCATAAAATTAAATGCAAATTTCTTACCGTTGTTGGTATTCTTGCCATGTATAAAAAGTAAGCTGCGAAAGCAATACATAACCAGATGTATAATATAACAAACACTAATGCATAAAGAGAAAAATTCACAAATATTATTGAATAGAGTGCAGCGGCACTTCCTACAGGGGCTATAATCGCAAAGATCAAGATATGCAAATCTTCACAGAATTTATCAATCGTCTTTATAAAAGAAGATAATACAGAAAATTCACGAAGCATTGTTTTTCCAGAAACAACTATTCCATTTTTAAACTTTTTCTGCAATTCGAAGAAGAATAACTCCGTAAGATGAACACCGAGATAGCAAAGAATCCAAAGAATTCCACAGCAATAAGAAATAATGTTACCGCATGTATAAGACGCAATGGTAATGTGAAAAGTACAGAAAAATTCTTGAAAATGCGATTTAGAATACCGAAAATAATATCTAGAAAATATATAAATTGAAGAAGGGATCACACACAATAACGAATTGATAAAACTGAAATACAGAAGGATTATATCTTGATATTTTTGAAATTTCTTTAATAATTTTTTGGTACATTCTATATTTTCATCAACGGAATCGATTGCACGCTTTAACGTTTTCCAATTTTTATTATATATATGAAAAAATATTAATGGAAGTAAATTCACCATACATAAAATGTAACGTAATCCATTTCCGAGTGTAATCCACACTTCAGGAATGCCACAATACGTGGATATATTGTCTAAGGAAAAGTACGATAAAATTTCATCTGGAAGTAAAACTAAAATTAGAATAGAAAGCATAAAATACTGTTCAAAAATCATTAATATAATCCGTCTTTTATTGTTTTCTTCATTAAGAAATATACCATACATTCGTAGAACCTTAATGTAAGGATGTATCGCTCGCGATAAAGTATTATCCATGAAACTACAATTTTCGAAATCTGCTCGTGTTTCTTACAAAATGTACAGAAATTTATGCATCTATAACGTCGATCGAGTCCATTTCATCTACAAACAATTCGTGAATGGAAGAATTATAATGGAACCCATTAGAATGGAGTTCGAGCAAATGTATTGTTAATGTGTTTAAAGATAATCGATGGCTGCTGCTTTAAGTTATCCATTATCTAAATTATTTCATCATTAGCAATAACTATAATACTGTACTAAACAAATAAATCGCCATTAAGGACAATTAATTTGTTTAAAAGAAGAGATTTAAGAAACACAACAAATTATACATTAAAATTTTAATGTAACCTATTACGCAATTTAAAGACAATCTTGTGTAACAACAGGAATTACGTGTTTCTTAAACACTGGTACAACCCTACATAAGTTTTAACGTGGTTTATTTAACATGAAAGCTTCACAGGAAAGTATCTTGCGTACCAGAGCCCTTTAGCCACCATTCGAGATCATCCAGTGGCGTTTCCACTTCCCAAGACGAGGACCTACACTGTGGATTATGAGAAGTGGTGTTTGTGTTATTTAACGGTGTTGTTTACAGCGATGATACGTAATGCGACGGACAAATTAGATAATGGTCCAATTGTGAATGTTATTGTGAGGGGTATTTGTAAGGACTTGTTGTAATGAAACTGAAGAATCTTCTATTCAAAAAATTACTGCTGACTGATGCACTAAATGATACCTATTTACTAGCACCTGGATCAAATGGACCTTGTAAATTGTGATATATTTATTGCTAAATAGTTACCAAACCTGTTTGTCATATCAATCACATAAATGTATCAACAGATGTTGGAGTTGAGTCCTCCAGTCCAATATCAGAAGAAGGGTATTACAGTAGAGCGTCAATTTTCCGAATCAATTGGGGACTGGGGTTGTTCGTATAACTGATATTTCGGATAACCGATTTATGTACGAAAAAATGGTTTAACGTATCCGATGTTGAAATTTTTCTCCGTTGCGTGTCGCTTCGCGTTGAATTTTCGTCGATGTTAAGCTTAACAAAGACTATTGTATCGTTAAAAATTATTTTTTTATTTTGTACAGACAAAATAGATATATTGAAAAATATCAAAACAATAAAAAATTATACTTCAGATGTTAATTTAGTATCAAAAACGTAAAATATTTGAGTAGCCCAAGACATAGCCAAAGATTGAAGCGCCACAGCACTGGCGAAATTTAAATTTGTCGACTGGAATTCTTTCGGATGATTGACGTTTCGGATGATTGACTTTCGGAAAATTGACGCTCTACTGTATTTAAAGTCAAAATGATGTGCATATTTTCTATATGGTATCAGAAGAGAGGATATTTTTTGATTTCGTAATATAAAGTCTGTAAACCATTATAGACTTTATATTATAGCTCAACGTGTCTATTGTGGAATTATATTTACTCTTGCCTAACAAGCTTAATGATTCCTGGATCAAAGGTATGGGTCTATCTTTGTCACTTTATTTAATTATCTATAATCTGCGACAAATCGATAACTTAGATCAGACTTCTTTACTAATAATGCCGATGAGGACCACGGGGAGTTTGATGGTTTTCCATCGTGTTCTCTATTAATATGTCCATAATTTCTCGCTGCGCTTATGGAATGCGATGCGGAGCTCGATAGAGTGGAGGATTATTGCCTGTATCTATCTTATGCTCGTTTCAATTGCAATATCCCAAGTCCAAATCATCCTTTGCAAACACCTGTTTGTATTTATATAATAATAAGTTCATGTGAGGGTCGTAAAAGCGCGTAGAAATTTCGACTAATTACAAACTTTAACGTCAGAAAGTTTCGAAGACAGAATCGGGTCAAGGGGATGTGTTAGTGACAAAGCCCAGATGAGACGAAAACTTTCTCGAATTGTAAAACAAACGCGACGCGACGATAAATAACAGGGGGGAATGTCGACAGACAGAGGGAGAACTTTGTCGGGATGCGCGCGAACAAATATCGGGTCGAAGCAAGCGGGAGAAAGGGGGGTCTAAGAACAAANTACCGTAAGTCTAATACAGTACTGTAATTTTATACATTTCTTGTGAAAGAAACATTTCTTATTCAACGGCGATTAAAATTATTTATATTAATGATGTCTCCGAAGTTAAACGAAGTTTTCGCAGAAAAATAAGTTATCAGAAATCAGCCGTGGTTTGGTGTGCTGCTTCGCGACGAAAACAAGCTTTAGCAGTGGCGATGTCAAATTGTGCACACTCGGTAAGTAATCCTACTTACCGAGTATTTCCGTATAATCCGTATTTTGGAGATGTTGAGTCGGATTGGTCTAGAATCGATTAATTTTATGGAATAAAACCTTTCAATCAGCCGTAGTCCGTAAACTTCACACGTGTCGGGCTGTGATTGGAAGGACTCGTAAGAAATCAAATTCCAAAGAATGGAACGTATCTATGATCTTATAGGGGAGTCGACTGTAAATATCCGACACGAAATTCGAGAAAAAAATTATATAGTTTATCTGACATATCCCGTTCTATCGCACAAGCTAATTTGACAATCTAAATAATAACTTTGATCAAAACTTAATAATAAATAATTATTACATGTTACGTATTTTGTAAAATAAAAATCACTGACGACTCTTTTCAAAACTGTAGGAATATAACAAGGCTCAATCGAAAAAAAAAACCTATTTTTAATAGCGAACTGTTCATAACGGAAATGATAGACTCAAAACAAAGAGTCTATCAATGCCAGAATGTTTTGCACCAGTGGCTTCGACTTTAACCTCGCGTGACCTTTCATACCTTTCTATTTTCACGGTTTTGAAACTTTCTGACATCATCGATGTATTGTTACGAACAACCAATGAACATTTCACTTCGAACCAAGAAAATTGTAACCGCATCCCAGTGTTGTTTTCTGAATTACATTGAAAAAATATTTAATATCAACAACTCGAATTTTAGTATTCTCTTCATTGCAAAAGACATTAAATTTTACTTCATTTGCATCTATTTCTGTTGTCAAAAGTCAAATTATTGAATAATTTAAGCTGAAAGACTTTTTCTACTTAAGTTTAATATCGTGTGTTTTTTTAATAATTTAATTTTCAGTAATAAATTGTAAATAATTTTGATGTTAAAATTTCTTTTTTTTTAAAAAAAAAAGGTTGCTTTTTTTCAAGATTTATCTATAGTGAATGGTAACCAGAAAATGAACTCTAAAAAATGAAGTGTGGTTATTTTCATAAGTGGCACTTAGTCGTTAAGAAATTTCACGAATACCGTGAGATATTAAAAGGTATTTGGTTTCGACCTTACTTTGAATCCGCCTATAAACGGTGGACAGCCGAAGAGGTCGAGATAGCATCGAATCCGGGATAACCCCCCCATAGATTTTTACTGATAATCTGATTAAAATGTGTTGCGCTTCGTCTTTCACCACCGAGATGTCCACCTGAGAGCATTAATAAATGTATTGATAAAATGGGCCTGAAAAGAAAAGGTTATCTTAGTGCCTATAGGATGAATACAAACAACAACAACTTAAATAACTAAGAAAACTTCGAGAGTGAAAATTAAATTTAATTATTCGAAATGAAAATGCATGATTTTGTAAATATTACGAGATGAACATTATATAATAAAAGCGAAAATTAATTTGTGTATCCGTTTTTAAAAATAGGGCATAACATCGAAGTAGATGTAGTCAAATTCATCTTTCAATTTCAATCCGGATTGCAAATATTTAAACGTTTCAATTCCTTCCAATGGATTGTAGTAATTTGCCGAGGGACTGATTCTTACATTATTTTCTGCAATGACGTCTCTCTCTATAATTGTAGCAATGAATCGATAAAATGTAAACTTTAGAATCCGTAGAGGACAACTCAATAAAATATATCCGGTTTTATTACATGCATTATTTCCAAGACGAAATTTCGTCCGTAAGTTTAAGTTGGCAAAATAATACAAATCTACAATTATTCCTTCTTCCCTGCAATGTGTTATAGGAAGATGCAATTCGTTGATAAAACAATCTTCCTTAACAACTATTTCGCATATAAATCGAATATTTGTATTTATTTTCCTTAATGCGTTAATAAAGTATGCACTTCGATTAACATAAGAGAACCAGGACGAGAGTAATTCGTGTTTTCTAGGACATGTAATGTCACAAATACTCTCTGGAATAAACCATGTCTCGTCATAATCGTTATTTTGCAAGTAACATCTTATTGCATCTCTCTCTACGTCCGTTAAGATCGGTTCAACGAATACTTGAGATTCCAGAAACCATTCAGGCATTGTCAGAAATCGTATGTACGGAAGAAATGGTTCCATGACCTGCCTTAGAGATTTTTCATTATTAACTCTTTTCTTGGCCCATTTTAAAACTATTGAGAATATGTCTGTATCGTCAATAAATGGATTTATTGGCCTACGAACGAGTCTATCCATAGTTGTTGCTTCACAGTTCAGCCATTCGTCCGATGAAAAAATTTCCTGCCATTTCGAACTTAATATATTCCAGCACAAATATTGTAATCGCTCATCCTTCTGTTGGCATGCTAAGTCATATACATAACACACCTTTTTAACTCTTGACGGATCGGTCATGAAATCTCGACATTCTTTATTTAAATTACGTAGGCCTAATCGTTTGCTTACGCAAAATATGTCCGTTGCATTCTGCATGGATTTAATGGTTTCTCGTCCTTCTTCCAGATATCTATAAACAGAAAATGCGATTAAAAACGAACTATAATTAGAGCCACTGTATATGATTTAAAACTGATGGTAATTATGTGAGGGTCGTAAAAGCGCGTAGAAATTTCGACTAATTACAAACTTTAACGTCAGAAAGTTTCGAAGACAGAATCGGGTCAAGGGGATGTGTTAGTGACAAAGCCCAGATGAGACGAAAACTTTCTCGAATTGTAAAACAAACGCGACGCGACGATAAATAACAGGGGGGAATGTCGACAGAGAGAGGGAGAGCTTTTTCGAGACGCGCGCGAACAAATATCGGGTCGAAGCAAGCGGGAGAAAGGGGGGTCTAAGAACAAAAGGGATATCTGTGAAGTAAGAACGCGGTAGGGGATAAATGGCCACAAGAACATCTGGTGAACCGTTTGGGTTCCAAGATGACAGAGAAAAGGGACATAACGGAGTAAAATACGAGCGCGAACGTTAAAGGACCGTCATCACCTCTCCGACCTTTTCCCGACCCGAATCGGTCTCGGGTTTCGCCTAGAAACAAAGGAATGACCAATCGGAGTAAGGGAGAGGGTGAAAGGGACCAATCAAAAGGGTGAGATTCGGGGAAAATCTTATAAAACCCCCGAATCTCAAGGACACGAAGCAGATTCTCTCCAAGACGCCAGGCCCGCAGCACACGGACACATACTCAAGAGGTCAGGATAGCAGATTCTCTCCAAGACGCCAGGCCCGCAGCACACGGACACATACTCAAGAGGTCAGGATAGCCGAGTCTCAGCCGTGCACTGGACCCCCAGCATCCAGAACGCCATAACCGCCGCATCCTCGGACACCTGAACTCGCATCAAGGACGCAAGATCGTCAGTAGCTACCTCATTGAGCCCCGGGGCACAGAAGAAGCGAAACCTCAGCCGGCCAACGAACTTATTTTGTTATTCCTGTTGTGTAAGTTAACTTCATGTCAAAATAAACGGTTTTCGTGTAAGACACTTGTCATCTCTGTCTCCTACCGCCACCACCCACATACGGTTTGACCCTAGGTTTTCCTGACGCGCAATTAACGTATTGCCCCCAAAATCGGCGAACTTACAATTATCGTTATAACAGAAGAAAACGATATTAATGCAAATTAGAATATGTCAACATAAGAATTTAAAAGATAATTACAGNCCAGGCCCGCAGCACACGGACACATACTCAAGAGGTCAGGATAGCCGAGTCTCCGCCGTGCACTGGACCCCCAGCATCCAGAACGCCATAACCGCCGAGCACCGCCGCATCATCGGACACCTGAACTCGCATCAAGGACGCAAGATCGTCAGTAGTTACCTCATTGAGCCCCGGGGCACAGAAGAAGCGAAACCTCAGCCGGCCAACGAACTTATTTTGTTATTCCTGTTGTGTAAGTTAACTTCATGTCAAAATAAACGGTTTTCGTGTAAGACACTTGTCATCTTTGTCTCCTACCGCCACCACCCACATACGGTTTGACCCTAGGTTTTCCTGACGCGCAATTAACGTATTGCCCCCAAAATCGGCGAACTTACAAAAGTATGTAATTTTAGATTGCTTGCTTCTAGTTAAAAGATCTTCATAAATTTCCTTATATGGTGCTAAGCACTTATGAAGAATAAAGCAAGTATGAAATAAGGGAAAAACATCTGGCAACATCAGAAGCAGTGTTGAGATCTGGCAACATTGAAATGAGTTTTGAGAAGGACCATCTGTATCGACAGAAGGCAAGAAAAGATAATTTACATACTTAAGTACTAATAGTTCACGAAAATTATTATTTTCGTGAACTATTAGTACTTAAGTATGTAAAAATTTATTACATTTCACGTTGTACGAGGGTTTTACCCAATTCTCGAAACGTGTCAGAGTGAATCTGTGCTATAACAGTACCGTGTTATACGGGGATGGTCCCAATTCTCAAACCGTGTTAGAGTGAATCCATGCTATAGAAGTGCTGTGTTATACAGAGGTTACCTGTATTAAGTTCTATATTATAAATTTCTTTTTCAATAAACTTCTCTTTGGAATGTTGGAAATTTTCTTTACATTTAAAAATATCCCTTTGTTAAACAGCAATACTAACTTAATAAGCTGCTGTAAGATGGGTGAAAAAGAATCTTTTACATAAAAAATCTTTTATTACTAAATTTAATCCAAAGTGATTCCAAATAAAAACTAGAGTATTCAAATGCAAGAACTGTCAACTATTCAATTCTAAAAAAAGTTCTCATTTCTGAGAACTTGTGCTAGGTGTTTTAATACTTCTTAAATGCAATCTTTATAAGTACATAAAATAGCAAACAATCCAGTTTGAGAACCAGGAACTGGTATCTCACCCTGCTATCAAAAATTCTAACTGCATTACAGTAATATAAAGACCAAGTTATTCTGTGATCTGACTTCAAGAAATTTTAATTCTCTAATCATTTACTTCAATCCCTGTAATTACCAACAATGCTAATCAACTTGTCCTTGAATACTTGGTAATAGTTAATAGCTACTCCATACAAGACATATGACAGTATGCATTACTTTTTCTCATTTTTCCAATAAATTACATTTGTTGTTTGTTTTCATGAATTCTGTTATTGGAAACATTCAATTTTTGAAAGTATTTGATTGTCTCTGGTTAAGTCTAACAAAGACTAATAAAAACAAAGACATGATCTTTATTTATATGACAAGATTTGAATAGTTCTTAGAATACAGTTTGTCTTGCACTGCAATGACTGTTATACCTGGAGGCAATTTTACTTTTTTGTCTACAAATGAATTATTAATTTTCTTCTCTATTCAGGTTTTCAGCTTATAAAATTTATCATCATAATTTTTCAAAATTAAATAGAAAATTACATTAAATCATCGTATAATTATATCACAACTTTCTCTAACTTAAAATATCAGAATTTTATCAGAAAGTATTGATATTTTGAGAGCAATCCTAGATACTGATGACAGTTTCAACTATAGCTTCTATTTATTCTTTATTGTTAAAACTACAGGCAAAATTTTAATGGCATGAAGTGGCCTCCAGATTAAATTAATAATTAAAATAAAAAAACAACTTTTTAAAAATCAATACACAAGAAAATTATATAAAAATTATAAATACCTGAGAAGCCATTTTTTTCTTCTGAAAAGATCTTCAAAGAAAAATGGTAGTATCTCTAGAAAAATAAAAATCAAATAGATTGAGATAAATAAAATAAAATTTAAGAATATTACTATATTGATTAGTGTTAATTAAAAGTTTTATCACAGGGATTTGAAATACTGTAAACTTTATTAAGCATGTCAGAAAATATTCCATATCTTCAAAACTTATACCAAATTTTAAACAAGATTTTAATACATATCAAATTAACTTTGGTTAAAAAAAAAGTATATCTTGATCAAAGTAAAACAAAAATTGAATGTCATCTTTTGATTTTAACTTCCAGTTCAAAGCATAATGATAACTGATGTTCTAAAAGGTTAAAACTAAAAGTAGGATTCAAGTTAATGTATTTTTAAAATATTAAAAAAAAAAAAAAAACATATCAAGTAATAATTCAATTATAAATAATTTTAAAGAAAAGAAAAATTTTTAAATCAAAAATTAAAGAAAGTTATTAAAAAAGTTATATTATCATATTTAAATCTAGTTCTCTTTATTTAATTATACTCATTGTTGATAAAACTAAAAGTTACATGTTAACAAAAGAATTAATCATAAATTATAAATTTACTTTTAATTGTTAGAAAATTTTTAAAATAAATAATATATAGAAGACGAAATAAAATATATTACAAAGAGCTATATGTCTAAGTATTTTTAATGTAAATTTTGACTTAATAACATTAAAAAATTTTCTATTTCTGAATGTTTTGAATTTTAGCCTGTAATGAAATTTATATATCCTCAAAATCTTAGGCTAAATATGATGTTTTAATTTTCAAATGTGTCAAACTGAACTTTTATATCTATTCAGCATCTATTTAACAAAAAACACAGCTTTATAAAAAAAGAAAATAAATTATAAACTTGTATTAATTGGGCTGCGATTTGAAAAAATTGTAGACAAATTCCCACAGTCATCTGCCTGCCTGTCTTTCCTTAATCTTGAGAATGGAGTTAGATAGATGAAAGACAAGACCAGATATGGAAACCTTAGGCAGGGATGCACAACCTTTTCTGAAGAAGGGCCAAATTAGGATTAAGTTTACTGACTGGGGGCCGGACCTCCAAGTGATTAATACGATAGCTGAGATTGGATGCTGGCGGCAATCTTCTTGATGTCTAGCNATAATAATAATAAACATTTAAAATTCAAAATAAGACAACACTACACACACCTTACACACTTTTTCAGCAACTAAACATAATCAAAACGGATGTTTTCAGTCTGACTGATAAGCCTTTATCAGGTTACAGAATGAAATTTAAATAGAAATTCTATCTCGGAATACAGTATTCTTTGACACAATTACATCTTAAATTACAATGGGTTTTAATTTTCCAATGTAACAAAATTATAAAATAAGATACAACTGCATTTAAAATTAAAACAAACAATACAATTAAGAATAAAATAACCCTATTGACTATGAAGAAGACACTGTTTCTACAGAAAGTCAGACCATTGTTGACCTCCCTTTTAGGATGTTATTGAATAATGACCAAAATGCAAAGGATAGCTTTGTAGTGTCTCTGGTCTCTGCTATTAATGCATTATTCTCTTAATGTAGATTTGAAAATTTCTAATATCTCTGCAGTTCATAATTTGTGTTCAGTGTAAATTTGTTTTACAAGCCAAGTACTGTTGAAATCTGCCAACATCCCAGGTTCATTTGCATAGGAGATTGATAAAATCTAGCATTTAATTTTAAATAAACAAACATTTCAAACTGATTTAACTAGCCATTTTTCAGGTTCAAACTACACATAACAAGATTCAAGAACAGGATTCCAGATAATACTATTCTGGAATCTCATTCTTAAGCTGCTGTTGTTGTTCAGTTATACATGATGTATAACTGAATGGCAGCTTAAAATAGTTTGAATGTAGTGCACATTCCATTGAAATAAGTCATATTATTCATTTATTTTAGCAATTTCAATTTGTACTAAGGTATTTTAATAACATGGTTTTGCTCTAGCACAGTTTGAGAACATTCCTGTATAAAACATCATAATTTTTAAGTGCAAACCCTGTCATTCAATACTTTTTTACTCATATTTGCCCATGAATCTTAGAATATTGAACTTTTCAATGTTGTTTTGCACATTGTACAATTTTTCTTATTCCTTGTCCTAGCTTTCTTATAAACCAGGTATCTCCATCATTGGTGATAGTGCTATAAATAAACTCAAAAGACTGTTGCTGTGTTTTCTTTTCACAAATTAAGTTAAAAGTTACTATATAAAAAAATTTAAAGATCTTTTCAACAAATGCAAACAAGTGAAAATATCAGATTTTATGAAAGATGTAAAGGAAAAGAATAATGGGGTAATACTTCAGATTAAGGTTGACAGGAAAGCTCAGAAGATGACATTTTGCCAAAAAATAGACATTCTCGTTTAATGGTGTTTAGCAGTGAAGAAAAAATTATTAATGTGCAATATTTTGATTGTGATTGTTAATTAATTCTAATTGCTTTAATATACAGTAGAACCTCGATTATCCGGACTAATTGGGGATGAAGGTAGTCCGGATAAGCAAAAATCCGGATAATCGAAACAAATACTTTAATTTGTCTTTAATGATAATACAACACGTTTTCTTTTCGATGACATATCGGTAATATTAAAAGTAAATATTGTATTTACATCGTGATCAAATTTTCAAGAAACAAACCTTCATAATGAACTTGGACTACTACTAACCAACGCTAACAGACTACCTATTGTTTAAAAGGCCCTCTGCTGGCGCAAGAAGATGGATTTTATAAAATAAAAAGCAGTTGAAACTGCATTTTTATGAATAAAAATTTGACAAACTATTTATCATTTTATGATGAGTAAAATTTTTTCGTCGCATTCTCGGCTTCTAAGTAATGCATAAACCTCCGAGGCGCGAGGC